TTTACACACAGTGTCCCCCACTTCTTTGCCATCCTATTCACTCCTGGTTTTCCTTCTGACAATCTGGGCAGCCCTTGCAGGCTCTTCTTCCAGAGTTTGTTTTTCCAGCTTTTCACCATACACCATACATCCCAGTGAATTACTTGGGAAGTAATTCACACAGTGTTCCCACACTTCTGTGTCTTTGAACATGCTCTCACCTCTGTCTGTAACATCCTTCTCCTTCTTTTGCAGCTCTATACTCCTACACCTTTCTTCAAGACCAGCGTCACCTTTCAGCATCCATGAAGGCTAAGCCACCAGAATGAGTTTGGTTCCCTTTCATTTTCTTCTGTTACCCTCTGCTTCTTTTTGCTCTTCCACAAATATTGTATGTAATGCCTCATTTAATCCCTACAACAACTATTTGAAGCAAGTACTATTATTATTCCAATTATACAGATGAGAAAACTGAGGCCCGGATACATTAAGTAACTTTGTTCAAAGTTGTAGAGCAATTAAATGAAAAGTCTAGGTTTGAATCCAGGCAGTCCAATCCAGAGCCCACACACTGAATACCTACCCTGCCCCCTGCTCCACCCTTAGCCTCTTAGCCTGTTGAATGAATGAACAATGGTGATCTTTTTTCTTAAAAGACTGATCAGAAGTGAGACAAGTTTAAATTTCATAGTATAGATTTTCAAAATTCCCAACTCAGTACAAACCTAAATAAGGCCACGACCTTCTCAGAGAAGAAGAAAAGTGAGTTTGGGGATGATAATAACCCACAAAATTTAAAATTTAAAAATCTCTTTGACATACATCATCTTATTTATCAACCCATGAAACATATTATGATTCCGTTTTACATGCGAGGACTTCTGAGGCTGGCATAACCAGCACTGGGATCCTGGGCTTTATATTTTATTTCTTCTGAGGTTTTGCGCCTCAGGTATGAGCTGATATGGATGGGTAAATTGGGAGTATGGTAGATTCTTTAAGAGCAAAACTAGGAAAGCTTTCACACTCTTAATTAACTACTTTTCATGCAATATTTCTAATGGAGTATTGGGTCAATTTCCACAACAAAGAGGCCACACCCAAGGACACCATAATGTTTTGGAAACTACTGCAAGTGCTGGAGCTGGTAAGGTACACATGTCTAAAACCTGTTCTTGGGAGAAGCCAAGTCTATGTCTGTATATAAGGCACCCAAGGGATGTTTTTAAATGGTCCTATTGCCCATCATTGTCCTTCAAGAACAGTCCAATATATTGCATGAGAGTTTAAAGAGTTCTTGATATAGGGATCCATAGTGGAGTTTTAGATGAATTTCTGAATTCCCTGTAGGTTATATTCAGAAATACATGTGCAAGTGAACACATTTTTTAAAAAATTACTGCATACTTTATTTTTTGAGGAGAGGATCTATAGCTTTCCACAGATTCCCAAAGGGGCCTACTGCCCCTGCCCCAAAATTAAGAACAATTATTTTAGTGATGGAAGCTAATTTTGATATTGATCCAAAAGCCAGACGTATTAGAAGGAAAATCTATTCCCTCCTTCCTATCAATACCTTAAGCTCCATTAAAAGAATTTTATGTTCTCTACCACAGTTGGAATCTTCCATGCCACTGTTGTCCCAATAATTAAAAGGTATCTAGAGGAAAATATAGATAGTACAGCAATGCACAGCACCTTTTTATAACAGATTTGATATCCCATCAGTGTTTTAATTGGCATCATTTTAAAACTTCATATTTTGCCTGAGTTAACAGCAACTGAAAGTAAACTCAGGTATCCTGGATCTTCAAGAGAAGTTAACCAGGAATTGAAACATACCTTTTAAATAGAGCTCGGTTATCTAGTAGGCAGACTAAGCATATGCTTAAGGCATCAGCAAAGCCTGAGTGATCCATTTTTTAAAAAAATAGTATATATTTTTTAAGAGTGTAAAAGTCATAACCACAGGAAGAATTTAGAACCTTATTGGATTTTCTTTCACTTGTTATGCTTTGAGTTCTGTTTAACTTTTCATTACATCTGAGGGTGGTGGAGGTGTCCATCATCTTTTCAGTGATCCAGTTCTTCTGGCCTTCCCTTTTATATACTATCAATAATTCTATCCAAAGCATTTTCTTCTCTGTGCCCCACAACAAGATTGCAAGAGAATCCTCCAAATGGATAGTGTAAGAGCTAACAGGTATTAGCTTAGGATGTGTGACACTGTTCTAAATGCTTATATGTACATCAATTCCTTTAAAGCTCACGACAGTCCCACGAAGTAGGGACCACTCAGCTCCCTGGTGTTTTGTTTGTTTGTTTGTTTTGTTTTGTTTTTGGTAAGGAATATTAGCCCTGAGCTGACACATCTGTGCCAGTCTTCCTCTATTTTTTGTATGTGGCACACTGCCACAGCATGGCTTGATGAGCGGTGTGTAGGTCTGTGCCCAGGATTTGAACCCAGGAACCCCAGGCCTCTGAAGTGGAGCATGCAAACTTAACCACTAGGCCACTGGGCCAGCCCATAGCCCCCTGTTTTATAACTAAGAAAATTGTAAGATCTTTCCAGTAGGAAGGAGAGGTATAGGGGGATGGGGAGGAGTGGCCCCAGGACAGTGTGTGAGCCTGGTCTCTGATCACTATGCAACTCTGCCTCTAGAGTGTTGAGCACTTTTTCTGGTCTAGGATGAATTATTTATTAAGAATGGAGTCTATGTGATATAAGACCAGAAACTATAACACTCCTGGAATAAAACAAGGAGCAGTAAGCCCCTTGACATTGCTCTTGGAATTTCTCTTTTGATCTGATTCCAAAGGCAATGGCAACAAAAGCAAAAATAAATAAGTGGGACTACATCAAAATAAAAAGCTTCTACACAGTGAAAGAAACTATCAACAAGATAAAAAGACAACCTACTGAATGGGAGAAGACATTTACAAATCATATATCCAATAAGGGGTTAATATCCAAAATATATAAGAACTCATACTACTCAATAACAACAAATCAAACAACCCAATTAAAAAGTGGCCAGAGGATTTGAATAGACATTTTTCCAAAGAGGACATACAGATGGCCAACAGGCACATGAAAAGATGCTAAACATCACTAATCATCAGGGAAATGCAAATCACAATCACAATGGGATACCACTTCACACCTGCCAGAATGGCTTTTATCAAAAGGACAAGAAATGACAGGTGTTGGTGAGGATGCTGAGAAAAGGGAACCCTCGTGCACTGTTGGTGGGCATGTAAATGGTGCAGCCACTTTGGAAAACAGTATGGAGGTTCCTCAAAAAATTAAGAATAGAACTACCATATGACCCAGCAATTCCACTTCTGGGTATTTATCCAAAGGAAAAAAAACCCCACTAATTCAAGAAGATATATGCACCCCTATGTTCATTGGAGCATTATTTACAATAGCCAAGATATGGAAACAACCTAAGTGCCCATTCACGGATGAATGGATAAAGATGATGTGGTATATATACGATGGAATACTACTCAGCCATAAAAAAGAATAAAATCTTGGGGCTGCGCCATGGCTGAGTGGTTAAGTTCATGTGCTCCACTTAGGTGGCTCAGGGTTTCCCTGGTTTGGATCCTGGGCACGGACATGGCACTGCTCATCAAGCCATGCTGAGGTGGTGTCTCACATAGCACAACCAGAGGCACACACAACTAGAATAAACGACTATGTACTGGGGGGCTTTGGAGAGAAGAAGAAGGTAAAAAAAAAAAAAAAAAAAAAAAGAAGATTGGCAATAGATGTTAGCTCAGGTGCCAATCTTAAAAAAGAAAAGAAAAAAAATGAAATCTTGCCATTTGCACCAACATGGATGGACCTTGAGGGTATTGTGCTAAGTGAAGTAAGTCAGACAAAGACAAATACTGTATGATTTCTCTCATATGTGGAGTATAAGAACAAAACAAACAAGCAAACAAAACAAAAGTCATAGATACAGAGAACAGACTGATGGTCTCCAGAGCGGAGGGAGGTTTAGGGGTGGGCAAACGGAGTGAAGGAGACCCAGAGGTACAAACTCCCAGTTAAAAAGTGTCAGTCATGGGGATGTAATGTATAACATGGTGACTATAGTCAATAATATTGTAATATTGCAAATTTGAAAGTTTCTAAGAAAGTAAATCTTAAAAGTTCTTAGAAGAAAGGTTTTTGTATAATTTTATATGGTAATAGATGGGAACTAGACTTATTGTGATCATTTCACAATGTATACAAATGTTGAATCCTTATGTTGCACATCTAAGACTAATATAATGTTGTATGTCAATTACACGTCAAAAAAAAAAAAAAAAGAGTGGCGATTACCAGCCCAGTGACCCATTTTCCACTTTCCTATCTGCTTATGGGCAGAAATCTCCACCATCCCTGTTAATTAGACCTCATCTTCTTGGGCCAGCCCTTATACCAGGCACTAGTACCAACCATTGCACGAGTCTAGAAAACACTCTCTCCGGACATGTTTCACACGTGTGTGGGCAGGGGGAGGGGACAGGCTGCAGGCGGGCAGACTTTCCAAAAGGAACGCATTTGAGTTCGCATTTCAGACATAGTGGACCCGGCGGGAGAAACCAAGTGTCGAGGGGTGAAGAAGGAGTGTGTCCTTGAAAAGAAGGGAAGCCTCAGAATCACCGTGATACCGATCCTCGGCCGTTTCTTCCGATTAAAAGAGGAAGCAATACTTTGCCTATAAGTTCAAACCCCCTGGTTCGAAGATGGCAGTTAGAAATCCCGTGCAGCTTTCTAATGCGAGGGGGTTGTACAGGGGAGGAAGGAAACAAGGGAGAAATTGCGCCTTAGTGAAGTCAACTCGCGCGAGCCCCGCGTGCGCCTGTTCTGGGGGTGGGGAGCGCAGCGCGGGGAGGAGGGGCGGCGGGGACGCGGGGCGGGGGACGAGGGGGGGCCAGGGCTCCCTCCCCCCTCCCCCCTCCACCTCCTCGGGCTCCCGGCGCGGATTGCTTCTGGCCGGTTCCCCCAGGTGAGCTACCCAGCCGTGACAGCACAGGCCCCACGAGGGGCGACTTCACGGGGGGGTGACATCTGCAGCGCGTGCCGAGCCTAGGGTGCCTCCTCGGAGAACACATGAACGGCGCTGCCGCCGGGGGAGTCGAGAGGCCGAGTCTGGGGGCCGCTTCCGTCGGAGGAGAGCGCAGGGGCGGGCTGGTCACGAGAGGCTGGGGCGGGCCGCTGGCTCTCCACGGCGGCGGGAGGAGGGGAGAGAGCGAGGGGCGAGCGATGGGGAGCAGCACGGAGCTCTTGGCCGACATGCTGTGCACCGCCGCCGCCCGGGGCCGGGTCGAGCTGGTGCAGGCGCTGCTCGAGGCCGGGACCTCACCCAACGCGCTGAACCGTCTCGGTCGGAGCCCGATTCAGGTGGGTCGGCCGGTCGGCCGCGCGGGAGGAGGAGATGGGGGCGGCTTTAGAGGACGAGGTTTGCAAGGGAGTCGGAGCCAGATAAACGTTTAGATTCCCAGTGAAGGGGAGTCTTCCTGGGCCGTTTTCAGATGGTTGGAGTCGGGGACTCCACGGCGACGCCGCGGGGGCTCAGGAAGCCACGGGAGGAATGAGGAGGCACGTGGGGTGCAGAGCTCTATAACAGCGGGAAGAGCTGGAGGGGAGAGCCTATTTGTGTTAATATAGACTGAGATGTGTTCTTTATCAGGCATAAAATGTACGAACGTTTCAAATAAAACGCAAGATTTTAAAGAAATGTGAGATTTCTGGGACGCCTTAGCTCCGAACTCACAGACTCCTGAATGCAGCTGATCGTCTTCCTTCCGAGGGGGAGATTTCAGTGGAAATCTACTACTATATATGTTGGAATAAATGTCGATTGAAATTATTCAGAAGCAACTACATATTGTGTTTACTTTTATTTTAACTGACTAGGGAAAATATAGGCGTGTGAGAAATTAGGAAATACAGACAGACGTATATGAAGAAAAACAGCTTGACCTAGCCTGAAGTAATATCAATTTAATTGCCATTTTGGAGGTATCTCCTATTTTTTGGCTATTTTTAGCTTATTTGAGAGAGATGAATTTGTGTGGGATAGAGTTCTCAATTCCTCAATTTTGAGAAATGTCGGTTCTCCCCCCCCATTCCAGGGGGGGAGGGGGAGCGGTCGTGTGTTCTTTTTTGTTGTTCGCCCTCACTAGCTTCCTAAATCTCAGGCTAAAAACGAATTTTTCTTGGTAGTCGCTACCCTAGTTTTATTCCCAGCGTCGATAATCATTTCTGATTCTGAAAAATAAAAGTTGTGGGAAACAAAGGCACATTGCAAAAACTCCAGTATAACAAGACAAAGGAAAGTAACTCCACTTGGAACCTCAGAAATTTCGAAAGTGAATCTTCCTTTCTTAGAACTATGCTACATAGGATAGATTCCATACACTTTAAAATACAGATAGAAAAATAAAACCAAAATGCCTTAAAACTTGAGATTATTTGGGATTTGAAGTGTGAAGAGGTGTTGAGACCAGAGAGGTCTCGTGAGGGTAGAAGATTGACATGAGTCCTTTAGAGGTAATGAAAGCATGGTTCAGAATTTGATCTCAAACATTCTGCCAGCAGCATGGACATTGGGAGTTGGGACTTGCAGTTCTGGAATGTGTTAGAAGAGACCTCATTGGTTTAAATACAAAAGGAAAAAAGAAAGTTGGATAATTAGTTTTCACAATTTTTAAAATAGGAACCATAAGAGCCTAGGGAAAAAGAGGCATGATTTTGGTTTAGGACCCCAACCAAATTTGTGTTTACTGTAAAAATACTTAGTTTATGGAAATTGCTACTATGTATTATTATATTTTATTAATAGTTTATTTTAAATTACTAAATTAAATTTAATGTCTTATCAAATGGATTTAAGTACCCTATAAATATTCCTTTAACTGATTCATTTTCTTTTTGCTTTGGGCTGCTATTATGATTTAAATATTTAAATGTTAGGTTACTTTTCAGTCTTTTTTTCAATTATTTTATTGAGGTCATATTGGTTTATAACATTGCATTACTTTTCAGTCTTTAATACTGTAAAATATAATAAAAACTTTTAAAAGCAGTTTTATGTCCAAGATGTAGGACTTCATTGTATAAATATTCTGTTTATCCTATTTTCATCTATTATATTCACCTGCACTATATAGAGATATGGAGGTTGTATAGACATGGTTTTAGACATGTATATATTAGCTCTGGCACTTACAATAATGCTCCCAAAAGATTATTGATTCCATAATCTATTAGAAATCTGGTGTAAATAAGTAGTTAATAATACTGTGAAAGTTTTCCCAGTTTTTCTTTTAAAACAGTACATTGTTCTAATGCACTGCAATAGTTTTTCTTTCTTTCTGTAGCTGTAATTTGCTTTATTTATATCTTGTCTTTTTTTCTCTCTCTTGCTCTCTGTGTCTTTTTGAAAGTTAAATCAGTTTCACTTTCTCCAGGACAAGAATCAACAGCCATAGTATGATTTATTATGGTTCCTTGGTTTGGACAAATTAAGCAATTCATGTTTAATACAGACTGCAACTAAAAATAAGTAATCTCTCTTTATTCAGTCACTATCAACCAGCCAATATAACCAAATAATGGTTATCCTAAAAAAGAATTTTTTACCACCACCACCCACCTTGCAACACTTAAATTGCAAGGTTGCTGTGGACACTATTTAAAAATTCCTCTTTGGTGATGGCTTTGTCTCAAAGATGATTTAGGAACTAAATGAGGTGAGCACCTCCAGTTTAATGAACTTCCAAGGTGTAAACTTTGGAAGTGTCTTAATTTCCTATTTCTGCTGTAACAAATTGCCACGAATTTAGTGGCTTAAACCAAGATAAATTTATTATGTTACAGTTCTGGAGGTCAGGAATCTGAAATGGATCCACAGGCCTGCATTCCTTTTGGAAGTTCTAAGGTAGAATCCATTTCCTTGCCTTGTCCAGCTTTTAGCGACCATCAACATTCCTTGGCTAATGGCCCCTGCTTCTTCTCTCTGACCTCTGTTTCCATTCTTATGTCTTCTCTCTGACTGTAACCTTCTTCTAAGGAAACTTCTGACTACATTGGGCTCACCCTGACAATCCAGTTAATCTCCCTCAAAATCCTTACTTTAATCATGTCTGCAAAGTCCCTTTTGCCATGCAAGGTAATATATTCAGTTTTCGAGTGTTAGGAAGTAGACATCTTTGGGGGGGCATTATTTAGTTACCATAGGAAGGAATTCTAGGGCTGGTTACACAAACCTTCTCATTTTGTCTTTAAAAAATTCAAGTTCAACATGCTGGGAAGCTAAAGGTACCTTAAAAGTTTTGCAAGAATTGAGATTTTGGGGGTTTTTTTCCCATTTTCACTTTTTAACAATTTCCACATTCTGGGCTTGAATATACAACAATGAACCATACAAAATCTCTGGGCCTTATGTAATTTTATATCAAAATGAGGGGAAAATACAGGTTAGGCTGTAGCAAAAGCCAGTTTGTCCCTCATCCCTTCACTGTTGTCATGCCTCTGGCAGTGCTGTGTGTGTGGGTGGAACTCCGCATAGGTTGGAGAATATAATGGAATTTACTGTGTACAGAAAAGTGAAATGGGTAGGAGAACTGGCTAAGAGAGTTGGTAACTGAAAGCAAATAAAAGAGTAACCAGATACCCTCTGGCTTGTACCGGTGTCTGCGCAGGGTGGGGGCTTCGTGAATCCTTCCTTGAAATTCATCCTGCCCCTGCCACCTGCCCTCGTCCTCACCACTCTGCTCTCCCCCGCAGGTCGTGATGATGGGCAGCGTCCGCGTGGCCGAGCTGCTGCTGCTCCACGGCGCCGACCCCAACCGTGCCGACCCCGTCACCCTCACCCGACCCGTGCACGACGCGGCCCGGGAGGGCTTCCTGGACACGCTGGTGGCGCTGCACCGGGCCGGGGCGCGGCTGGACGTGCGCGACGCCTGGGGCCGCCTGCCCGTGGACCTGGCTGAGGAGCGGGGCCACCGGGAGGTTGCCCGGTATCTGCGCGCGGCCACAGGAGGCACAGAGGGCGGTGGCCACGCTGGTACCGACCCCGCGGAAGGCCCCGCAGGTGAGGTGGCCGATTTAAGAATTTGAACTCAGGGGTCTGCCCGGTGGCACAGCGGTTAAGTGCACACGTTCTGCTTTGGCGGGGCGGGATTCGCCGGTTCGGCGGATCCCGGGTGTGGACATGACGCAGCTTGGCAAGCCGTGCTGTGGCAGGCGTCCCACATACAAAGTAGAGGAAGATGGGCATGGATGTTAGCTCAGGGCCAGTCTTCCTCAGCAAAAAACAGGAGGATTGGCAGCAGATGTTAGCTCAGGGCTAATCTTCCTCAAAAAAAATTAATTAAAAAAATAAAATCCTCTGCTCAAGATTATTTAAAAAAGGAAAGCATTTGAACTCAGCTTCCAAAGCCCAGCGCGCTCCTTCTCAGAAGAGAACTTTTGTCCTGGGAGAGCAGGGTCTTGTCTCTTGCCTCAGCTCACACACTGCCACCCCGTGGGACAGTCCCAGTCTCCAGCCTCGCCAGGGCTGAGGACAGGAAATAGCCTGAGAAGGGCGTCCCCGCGCTAAAGCCCATCCCATAAACCGTGCCCCCCAACCCCCAAACACTCCCCTGCCCGCAGCTCAAGGCCTAGACTGTGGAGCATTGAAGACTCGAGGCTAGAGGTCTAGCGGCCCTGCTTCCCACCTGGCTGGCTAACTGCATCCATTCGGCTGCCCTTAGCCTCTCCACTCGCCTACGTGGGTCATTGGACCAGTCCTGCGATTTCCAGAGCCACTTGTGTGTGGCATCATGTGGCAGAGATCTGTCATACCTGGCTCCATTGCAAAATTCTGCTAAATCCGATTCGCCGCTCTATGCGGTGGAGTTTTCCAGAGCGCTCCCGGGGCTTCTGAGGGATGTGGGATGGAGACCTCTCCAACCCTCGCAGTCTACACACCGGAATTTGCTGCGTGCTCCGGGGAACAGAGACCCTCTCTTAAGCTTTCCGTTTCTCCGAGATCGCTGAGACAGGGAGATGGATATGTGGTCCTCCTTGCCTTCTCCTTCTACGATCACAAGGCCTTCTTCTCCACCCTCCCCCCCCCCCCCCCCCCCCCCCCCCCCCCCCCCCCCCCCGCACTGCACTCCTGCTTGCCTAAATTACCAACTTTACTCTTTTTTTCTGAAGGGCAGCCATTTTATTATCAAAATATATATATTTGAAGCAATATACGATATTAACACGAATATTTAAGGTAAACCTCGACTTTGAAGATGCTGAAATCTATCCTATTTTAGCTCAGAATTGGGGCACTAGGTTCCATGGGCCTTAGGGGAGCCTGGGAGGATAGACTGCTGAGACACGCTATGGGCGCTCGGCTGGGAGGCGCGGCGAGTGCGGCGCCTTGGGTCTGAGAAGCGCGAAGATCTCCTTGAGCCTGCCCACCCTCTTCCTCCTCCAGTTGAAGCGTGCGTCAGGGATGCAGCATAGGACGAGGGCCCAGTCACAGGGCTGTTGGGCGGAGCAAGAACTGGGAGGAGCCAAAGAATAAACTGAAACCCTTTAAAACCAAACCTAAGATGTTTAACCCAAGTTCACATCTTGCCTGCCTTCCTCCCTCCCTTGCTCCTTCCCTCCCTCCCTCCCTCCCTCCCTTCCTTCCTTCCATCCTTCCTTCTTTCTCTTTAATTAGAATCCTACTACACGATGTGCCCCGTTCTAGGCGGGACACAAACGTGAACGAGACAAAACAGGAGTCCTGCCCTCATAGAGCTTACATTCTGGGAAATAGACTTTAAGAAATATAACAGTGTATTTTCAGAGAGTGAGTCTGTAAAACCAACGTGATGGACAAGAGTGAAGTGTAACTAGGAGGGGAGGCTATCTTAGAAAGAGTGGAAGAGATTAGCCACTGGAGGCAGAGAAATCTCAAGTGCAAAGATTGCTGCGGGAATGACAGTGGCGGGTTAGGAGGACGGAAAGGCGGGCTGGAGCGTGTACACAACGCGATCAGAGAGGAGGGCAGAGGGCGGATGATGCGGGGGCCTTGTGGGTCAAAGAAAGGATGTTAGGTCAGTACATGGATTTTGTTCTAGAAACGTTAGGAAGCCATTAGCAGGTTTGGGAGAAGGGGTCTGGGGAGGGAGACGATGGGACTAGAACCGAAGTTTCACAAACTGCGGAGTCGCGCCTGAGCTAGAGGTTCCCTCTGGTTACGCGAGTTCGCTGAGTGGCGTGAGATGCAAGAGATGTCCGGTGACGCGCAAAGGGCGACGCGACGTCTTCAGGTCTTTGCGCCTGGCGTTGTGTGTGGCAGGCACTGGGCACTCCTTATGTATGTACCCGTTTTCCTCTCGCCACCGCGCGGGGTCTTGCGCCCGCGTTCTCCTTGCCCTCGCCCAGGCGAGCCCAGAGCTCGAGAGCGGCCGGCGAGCCCGGAGCAGCGAGCCGTGCAGGGCACGCGCTGCGAGGTGAGCGAGGCCCCGGAGTGCGGAGGCGGCGGACGGGGTCCAGACTCATGGACCGACCCTGTGCTGTGGTTGACGGATACTGAGAGGAGGTGTCCATGCAGGCGAAGCCATCCGCGAACCTTGTCCATAAATTCGAGCACCCAGTGGGGAACTATGAGAGAGGAGGGGGAGGGGTCGCACATCTTTGACTTCTGGATTCTAATGTCCTTTTTAATTTCTGTCATCTGCAGACGTTAAGTGATTTTAAACAATCATTGATATCCGGAGACACTTCGACACATTTGGATCTTCAATCGTCGAAGTTTGAAGATAAGAACTATCCCGCCCCACCCAGTTGTTCCCTGCTTAGTTCCAATTTATCAAATAGAGCTTTTTAAAATACTTTTTTAAAAAATGCTTTTTAAAAAAATGCTTTTTTTGTATGCTGCTTCTTCGCATGGATTCTTCCCCTAAAGCCCCATTTATATGTTGTTATAAAAAGTAAAAAACCAACACTGCTTCTGCCTTTTCATTGGGTTGGAGTTTTCAGGAGGGAGAACCCACCTCTGAGAACACATCTATGCGGGCACTTCCTCTTTCAAGCCTCGCAAAGCCAGGTGCTGTTGCTCTTACAGCCGTTTTGTGAATCAGGAAAACGAAGCTTAAATGGGTTACGTGGCCTTTCTTGCGTCAAACTGCCAGCGAATGGCAGAGCCAAGGCTCAATTTTTTAAAAAAAAAAATGTGTTCTTTCGCTTACTCATTTTATTCAGTCAACAGTTATTGAGCAATTATTATAACACCGTGCCAGGGGTATTGTGGGAGGGAAACAGACCTCAACTAATAAACACACAAAGACATGACTAAAAATTTTAACGCCAATTTCATTGAATTAAAGACAGCCTTGTTTCCTAGACTCCTCCTTGTTTCATGTATCTGTTAGAAATCCATGCAGTAAGTACACAAAATGGATTATAAGACACTTCCGGATCTCAGATGATATATCAAAAGCTGGGTCTTAGGATCTATGAAATGCTGTAGCAAGTGATGAATGGAAACTCGAGGGAGATCTCAGATGGACAGACTCTCTTCCACCTGGCATTCTGTTACTTATGCTGCTCCAGGACACAGCCCCAGAAGTTTTTGGGTGTTTTGCCCAAGGCCCCACATCCAGCAGGTGACAAGCCCACAGAGCATGGCCCACAACCATTGAGTGCGGCCCTGCAGCCTGTTGGGGGTCTTCCTGAGCTGGCCCCCCGCCCAGTGCCCGGCCCAGCACTCTGAGACCCGCCAGCAGTGGCTCCAGGGGTCTGTGAAGTTGCTGTTGACTGTCACCTAAACCAAAGCTGCTCCCCACTTCTCTGCCAGAGCAGGGATGCTGCAGGAGCATGGCTCCAACTTCAGCTGGGGCCAGGAGGCCACGCTGCCTCCGCCCAGGCCTGGGTACCACACCTGCATTACTTATTTAATTTTTATTGAAGTGCAATTCATGTAAAATAATATTAACGATTTTAAACTGTACAATTTAGTAGCACTTAGTATGCTCACAATGTTGTGCAGCTATCACCATTTAGTTCCAAAACATTTTCGTCACTTCCAAAGGACACCCTATACCTGTTAAGCATACTCATTAAATCCTTCCTTCCAGGCCCTGGCAATCACCAATCTCCTTTTGTCTGTATGGATTTACCTATTCTAGACATTTCGTATAACTGTAATCATACAATATATTGTGTTTTGTGTCTGGCTTGTTTTCACTTAGCATAATGTTTCTGAGCTTCATCCATGTTGTAGCATGTGTCAGTGCTTCATTCCTTTTTATGGCTGAATAATACTCCATTGTTTAGCTCTTCATCTGGTGATGAACATTTGGGTTGTTTCCACCTTTTGACTATTGGGAATAGTGCTGTGAACATTTATATACAAGTATTTGTCTGAATATTTATTTTCAATTATTCAGGGTATATACTTAGGAATGGAATTGCTAGGTCATATAATTCCACGTTTAACTTTTTGAGGAACTGCCAAACTTTTCCACAGCAGCTGCACCATTAAACATTCCCACTGTCAATGTACAAGGGTTTCAATATCTCCACGACCTCAATAACACCTGTTATTTCCTAGTGAGTATGAAGTGGTAGCTAATTGTAGGTTTGATTTGCATTTCCTTAATGACTACAGATGTTGAGCGTCTTTTCATGTGTTTATTGATCATTTGTATAGTTTCTTAGGGGAAATGACTTTTCAAGTCATTTACCCATTTTTAAATTGGGTTATTTTTCTTTTTGTTGTTACATTGTAAGAGTTCTTCGCATATTGTGGATACTAGGCCCTTATCACATATATGATTTATAAATATTTTCTCTCATTCTGTGTGCTATCACTTCACTTTCTTGATAGTGTCTTTTGATGCACAAAAGATTTTAATTTTGATGAAGTCTAATTAATCTTGTTTTTCTTTTATTGCTTGTGCTTTGGTGTCATCTCTAAGAATCCATTGCCAAATTCACGTTCATAAAGATTTACTTCTATGTTTTCTTCTATGACTTTTATAGTTTTATATCTTGCACTTAGGTCTTTGATCCACTTGAATTATTTTTTTGCATATTGTATAAGGTAGAGTTCTAACTTTATTCTTTTGCATGTAGATATCCAATCGTCCCAGCACCATTTGTTAAAGAGACTATTCCCTGTCAATTGAATAGTCTGGGATCCTTGTCAAAATCAGTTGACTATAGATGTATTGGTTTATTTCTGGACTCTCAATTCTATCCACTGAGATATGTGTCTATCTTTCTGTCTGGTCCACACCATTTTGATTACTGTAGCTTTGTAGGATGGTTTGAAATTGGGACGTGTGAGTACTACAACTTTGTTCTTATTTTTCAAAATTATTTTGATCTGTTTCAATCTTGTATCTGGGGTCTGTTATAATTCTATATAAATTTTAGGATTAGCTTTTCCATTTCTGCCCCAAAAAAGGCCATTGGATTTTCATGGAGATTGCATTAGATATGTGGATCACTTTGGGTACTATTGCCATCTTGACAATATTAAGTTTTCCAATCCATGAACACAGGATGTCTTTCCATCCATTTAGGTCTTTAATTCCAGCAATGTTTTGTAGTTTTCAGTGTACAAGTATTGCACCTACTTGGTTAAATTGATTCCAAAGCGTTTTATTCTTTTTGATGCCATTGAAAATGGAATTGTTTTCTTAACTTCTTTTTGGGATTGTTCATTGCTAGTGTATAGAAATACAACTGATTTTTGCATGTTGACCTTTCATTGTACAGCTTCACTGAATTTATTAGTCCTAACAGTTTTTGTCAATTCTTTAGGATTTTCTATATGTAAGATCACATCATCTGCAAAGATGGATAGTTTCACTTGTTCCTTTCCAATTTGGATGCCTTGTATTCCTTTTTTCTTGCCTAATTGCTCAGGTTAGAACTTTGAAGACAATGTTGCCTGGACAATTTTGAATAGAAGGAGCAAAAGCAGGCATTCTTTTCTAGTACCTGATCTTAGTGGGAAATCTTTCTGTCTTTCGCCAATCATTATGATTTTAGCTATAGTTTTTTCATAAATGCCCTTAATCAGATTGAGGAAGTTCTCTTTATTCCTAGTTTGTTGAATGTTTTTATCATGAAAGACTGTTGGACTTTGTCAAATTCTTTTTCTACATCAATTGAGATGATCATGTTTTTTTCTTTCATTCTGTTCATAGGGTATATTACATAAGTTGATTTTCCTATGCTGAACCCCTTGCATTACTGGGATAAATCTCACTTGGTCATGGTGTTTAATTCTTTTAACATTCTGCTGGATTCGGTTGCAAGGATTTTGTTGAGGATTTTTTGCATCTATATTCATAGGGGATATTGGTCTGTAATTTTCTTGTGATGTCTTTTTCTGGTTTTGGTATCAGGGTAGTGTTGGCACCATCGAAGGAGTTAGGAACTGTTCACTACCCTTCTATTTCTTAAAAGACTATTGGAAGGACCAGTGTTAATTGTTCTTTAAACCTTGGATTGGATTCACTAGTGAAACCATCTGGTCCTGGCCTTTTCTTTGTCAGGAGGCTTGTGACTACTGATTCAATTTCTTATTATGAGTCTGTTTAGATTTTTTTTTCTTGAGTCAGTTTTGGTAGTTTGTGTGTTTCTAGGCATTTGTCCATTTCATCTAGATTACCTAATTTGTAGTGTACATTGTTCATAGTTTTCTCTTATCCTTTTTATTCCCTTAAGGTGGCTAGTAATGTCCCTATTATACTGTATTTCAGTCACCTTCTTGATTGAGCATTCACTTGCTTGCTACACCTTTGACTGTTTTCCAGAGTCCCCAAAGTCAATTCTGACGCTTATCTTTTTGGTCTCTGTGTGGGGATGGGCCCTTGGAGCTTCCTACTCTGCCATTTTCACTGATGTCACTTCTATTTTTTGTTTTAGAGCAGATTGGCCAAATGCCTCTGATGTGCCAAGTTCCCTCCTCCGTACACCCCCGTGACTGGGACTCAGTGCCTCACGCCCGGCCTTCCCACTTCTGGGCATCGGAGTGAGACCCCCAGCATTTCCCCGAACAGCTCTAGCTCCAGCCGTCTCCCTCCAAATTCTCTCCACCGCCCTCCGCTCTCCGCTCTCCTCCCCACTGTAGGAGCTCGCTCTTCTCCTGTTCTGGACTCTCCTCCTACACACGCGCGCGCGCGCGCGCACTCCCACACCCCTTGCCAGCGGGCTCCGCCGCGCGGGGGGGTGCTCCTCGGGGAGGGTGCAGGCGCCTGCTTGGAGGCCCCGGGTCTGGGCGGCGGCGCGCGTCTGCAGGGCGCCCGCCGGCCTCCACGTGCGCGCGCGCGCCGGGGCTCCCCGAGCACACGCACGCCGGCTTCCCGCCCGCTCGAGGGGAGCGCGGCCTCGGACCTGGGGCTGCGGGGTTGGCGGGGGATTCCCGGGCGATTGCGTCTGCTTTGAAAAAGGGTGAGCGAGAGGGAGGGAGGGAGGCAGAGGCCCGAGGGCGGGGTTCCGGGCGGTCCGGCCGGTTGCCCGAGGCTGCGCAGCAGGCTGCGGGGTCCGTGCCCGGAGGCGGGGGCTTTCCCTCCGTAACGGCCAAAACCCGGAGCCCGCCCCCCGGAGCGGGCAGAGCCGGCGCGCAGCCTTCCTTCGGACGAGGCCCCCGTGCGGCGCCCGGTGAGCCCGCGGACCCGAGGGCGGCCCTGGACTGGACGCTTCACCGGACCGGACGCGGGCTGCGACCCTCCCGGGTCCCCGCGAAGCCCGGGGCGCCGGCGGGCAGGGTTCGCCCCTGCGCCTCCTCGCACACCCACGGGCTCCATTAGGGCAGGAACGTTCACGTGGTGAGCACAGAAGCAGACGTTTCAAAAAAAATAAATCTTTTACTGTTATTCCCGTTTTTTTCTATTTGAATTTTTCTTTGAATTGTCTTACAGCAATTTAGTCGTTTTCTGAGTTCTCAGTTGTCCTTTCCTCAACTAGCTGACATCGTGATTGAGTGCCGTC